AAGAAGGAGTGGATGAGGGAGAGGGAGAGGGAGAGAGGGAGAGAGAGAGAGAGAGAGAGAGAGAGAGAGAGAGAGAGAGAGAGTGAGAGAGAGAGAGAGAGAGAGAGAGAGGAAAGCGAGAGAGAGAGAGAGAGAGAGAGACATGGAGCGAGAGAGAGAGAGAGAGAGAGAGAGAGAGAGAGAGAGAGAGAGAGAGAGAGAGAGATGGAACAATAATCTATTAAATAGATAGAGAGGCAGCCCAATAATCAGGTAGTCATATTGAACAAGAAAAAAATCTAACGAACATATAATAGGAAGAAAATTTGTTTGAAAGCTAGTGTCAAGTCAGTCTGACGTCTCAAACGCTGCTGTCAAATCCAAGCAATCAAGTTTCATCTGATGGCTTGACACCGAATGACACCATTAAAGACTGCTCACAATTAGGAACCCGGCGTGGAGAGGAACACAGGCATTACATCACTGCGATATTTCACAGTCTAACAATAAAACCCTTATTATACAATGACCTCCAACATTTTTAACTGAACAAGTACATCATTACATCATTACTTGATTCTCCATCTCTCCCAATACCCCTTATTTAATACCTTTTACTCGTCTAAGGAATAACATGAGAATAGCCAACGCCTAGTTAGCGTTTAAGCAAGGTATTTAAAACTTACCGAGAGGACATGTAATATGCACATGAACGAGAAGTTATAATAAAGGGAAAAAGTAGGTATGAACACAATAGCAATGTCTATAAGTGGAAACGTAATAAACCCAAGGACGAGGAGTTACAATAGAGGAAAGTAGCAGATATGAGCACAAGTAACAACGTCTGTAAGTGTTCTTAAAACAACGATGCAGATATTAACGCTTCCGGTTCTCTGTCTTTACATAGGGATACAGGTGTTTATCGGGTCACGAAGAAGAGGTACGTCTCGACATGAAGCTCACATCAAGGTAAAGAGAAGAGAGAGAGAGAGAGAGAGAGAGAGAGAGAGAGAGAGAGAGAGAGAGAGAGAGAGAGAGAGAGAGAGAGAGAGAGAGAAAGCGAGAGAGAGAGAGAAAGACAAACAGAATGAAATGAAAAAGAAAGTAAAACAGAAAAATAGAGAGGAGAAGAGATGGCAAACATACTTTTCTTATGTAACAGCTTGATTCGCTATGAGATCTCTTCAAGCATGAAGTAGAAATCTGAGTTCGTCTGCAAGTAAGCCTTTCTAAAGAGTTCTTTACTTTAATATCACTTTTTTCTTCTCTTCTCTCTCTCTATCTCTTTCTTTCTCTCTCTCCTTCTCTCTCTCTCTCAGACTCTCTCTCTCTCTCTCTCTCTCTCTATATATATATATATATATATATATATATATATATATATAGAGAGAGAGAGAGAGAGAGAGAGAGAGAGAGAGAGAGAGAGAGAGAGAGAGAGACATACTATCTGTCTGTCGCTGCCCCAAAAAGTAATGATAATAATAAAAAAAAGTATATGTATATATGTATATAATTAAAAAGGCACTCCGCTCCTACCTGCCGAGGCGTACTGGTGATTAAAGGCCGCGCTCGATGCCGGATCGAGATAGATCTTTTTGGAAGCCTTCGTGTGGAAGCCTCCCACAGAAGCCACGCAGGACACCTTGGCTTCGTAGTCCTGGAAGTACTCGGGGGCCCTCCAGCGAAGCCCCGCCACGGAGATGACACGCCCGAGGTGGTCGGTCCTGTCGTCGAACCGCTGCACGTCTTGGGGCCTGACCTGTTGGGAGGGAGGGAGGGGAAGGGGGGAGGGAGGGGAAGGAGGGGAGGGGGGAATGGGGTTGGGGTGGAGGGAGGAAGGGGAGGAGGGGGGTAGGGGGTGGAGTGAGGAAGGGGAGGAGGGCGGGTGGGTGAGAGGAAGAGAGGTGGGTTAGGAGGGAGGGAGGGAAGGGGGAGGAGGAAGGTAGGAGAGGGGCAGGGGAGGAAGGGTGGTTGAGGAGGGAGGGAGAGAGGGAGATTGAATAGAATAGGGTGAAAGGGAGGGTAGGTGGGAAGGGAGAAAGATGGAAGAGGTGGACGGTGATAAGAAAAAAGGATAAGAAAGAGAGAGGATGGGAGATGGGGGAACACGAGAGACAGCGGAAAGGAGGGAGAGAGGGAGGGTAATTTAGAAGGAGGATTGGAGTGAAGAAGGGAGAATGAAGGCAGAGAGAGAGAGGATGAAAAGGAAGGAGATACACGAGGAGGAGGGAGGAGAGGTAGGAAGGAAGGAAAGAGAGTGGGAAGGAAGAAATAGACGGATAAAGGGAGGGTGAGAGGGAAGAAGGAGGGAGAGAGAGAGAAGGACGAGGGAGGGAGGAGTGGGAAAGAGTGGTAAGGGGGAGGAGAGAGGAGGTGAAAAAATAGGAAGGAGGAAGGGAGGAGGAGAAGGAGGAGTAAAAAGGAGGATGAGAAAGATAGAGGGAGAAAGAGAAGTAACCAGGAAAGGGAGGGAATAATTAGAAGAGAAAGGCGATAGAATAAGAAAGTCGGGATAAGAGAG